CCCGCTCGAGCCTTCCGCCGCGGCCCCCGTCGCCCGACTCGCTGCACGACTCCCGCACGGAAGTCCTTCTGGCCGTGCGCCTCATCACCGCCGTGCTGCTCGGCGTCATGGTCGGCGTCGAGCGCCGCGCCACCCGCCTCAACCTCGGCGTCCGCTCCATCACCCTCATCTCCCTCACCTCGGCCCTCGTGTCCGTCGCGGCCACGGCCACGCGTCTGTCGCCCGCCGTCGCGGCCCTCTCGCCGTCGGCCGCTTTCGCGGCCCCGGCCCTCGCAGTCCTCGCCGCGTCGGCGGTCACTGCCGCTGCCGTGTTCGCCGCCATCCGAATGACATCCCGCCTGCGCGCGCACGCCATGCATATGTCGGCCGTCGTCGGCCTCGTCATCGGTATGGGCGGCGCGTGTGGCGCGGGCCTTTCGCTCATGGCCGCCACCGGCTACCTCGCCGCTATCGCCTTCATGCGCGGGACTGAGGCGAAGAGGAAAATTACTTTGGCTGCCAACGGCCCGGCGTACTCGGTGTCCAGGGACAGGGAGCTGAGAGTTGAGTCGGATGATGGTTGGGATTGTGAGAATCGCATGGTCTTCAGAATTGGAAACGGAAATAAGACTGACACCCGGGTTGTCGAAGTTGGCAGAAAGATCTTGCTGGATGGGCGCCCTGATCGTGTCGAATGATGTGGAATCCGCCCAGGTCGTGAACATCTGTCATTGTCGAGATCATGCCGCGACCGCGCCAACTTGCACGGGGGTTAAAATGAGTCGCCACTGCGCGTCATCATGCCGCATTCGTCTGGGTTTGCTATTTGTACATACTATATCACCGAAATGGCTTTCGTAAGTTGCAAAGTATGCTTACTGTATTGTTCTTGTCCCTATGTAACGCAAATAAACAATTATTAACAAGGAGATGATGTGATTTGGTGCAGATCGCGTTTGGCCGTTAGAATCACCAGTCCTCTGCAAAGGGCGAAACGAGCTTGCGGCATCACCATGTCCCATGTAACGTCCATTTGTTCTCGCCAATGTAGGTCTCAAACCGAAGAGCGCTGAATGAGCTGAATTCTTGAATTCTCCAGGACGCGTTTCGTATTTTCTTTGCGCGACTGAATTTCCTTCAACAACTTTTCCAGCACTACGATGTATAAACAACTGGCTGAGAGAAGGCGGCTCCACGACGCTCTATCTTACACATGCTCTACAGTGAAAATTCAGGAAGTAATTCAAATATCCCAACACCATGAATTCAGTCCTTATCAACGACATCGCCCTGTAAGACACAATGTTACAGGAGAGCCCGGCTATGAAAACCAGAGGAGGAGAACCCCAAATACTGCAGTGATTGTTGCAATGCGCCCCCATCCCTCTAGTAAGCTCTTCTATGCTTCGAAGCAAACCTATGAAAGTCCACGACGTCCTGTGACCGACAAACGCAAGCACTTTCAGGACATGTTGCCTTTGCAAAAGGCCATGGTCATTAATTACGCCCACCTTTGCCATGGGTGAGGGGGTTCTGTCGAACGCGGGGTACATTTCGTGTCGCGCGTTGCTATCCATGTATCGTGACAAGAGTATGAAATGGTCCGGTTTGCACGGCGATGAAGGTGGCTGCCCTCATAGTTCATCGCTGGCATTTGACTGCTGAGTTCATTTCGGCGATAGAAAGCTGACGCAAATTAGCGTTCTGGGGACGAGGAAGATGCGTGGATCGGTTCGCGCAAGCACTATGATGGTGACTCTTCTCACGGGCAAATTGAAGTACAGTACAAACTAGTTGGCTTCGGGCAGCACGCTCACTTCGGCTATTTGCAGTGCTATGGGTACAGCAGAGAGTTGGAAGAGGTACTGTACCAGGCACGTGAAAGTAGTCTTGAAGTTTTATGACATGTCCTCCAGTCGGTCTGGATCGTTTCCGAATTCGAAAGGGGCAGGTGCATTTATTGGCTCAGTTGCTGCTCAGAGTCGGACGAACTCACGCAAGCAACACCTTTTCGCGGAGAAGAATTCTCAGAACTTTTTTTTTTTGTCTATCGCGATAGACTTGTGATCACTTGGAAAAGTGGTGTAGACTATAACGTCTATCGTACAGTGCTGTACAACACCAATGTTTTCATAAACTTTTTGACGCCTTGCAACGAGAGGGGGAACCGCGGGTGATGCTTGTTTTTGGCGGGTTGGAAATGAATCTGGATCAGAATCGGTTCAACCCTCTCTACGGAGGTTCTGACATAGCCGTCGATATCGTCGATAAATGACGTCAGACTGGTCTGATTTGATGCTACAGTAGCGTGTGCTCATGTCAGAATGCTGGGACGCTTTTATTTGGCCGGCGCGACCACTAGACCTTCTCATACTGTGTTATCTGCATGCTTATACAATCTGCACTGTATTTCCTTCATCATTGCAGGCCACCTGGTGAATATTGCGAAAAAAAGGATCCTTTCTAATTCTTCAACACTTGCGAGAGGCTACTGATTGGATACTTGCAGTAGAACACTAATTGACAACGGAAAAGTGCTGTTTCAGGGCCATCTCTGCTCCTTCAAGGTGGGACGAAATCTCCTTAGCGCTACTGTACCCATTGACTTACATAATATACTGTACCCTTGGGTACAGTATTGCAAATGTAAGTCAATGGTATGAAGTTCATACTGTAGTTCAGTATTTGATCACCATATGGCCCTGCCCATGCTAATTGATACAAATAACCAACCATCCTTGGCAAGTCCATGTTTTATACAGTGAACCTCCCGATAAGGATCATTCTCCATATGGATATCCTCCGTAAACGGATTACGTCCACCGAGCGTATCCATATGGAGAGGGTTCACTGTATTAGCGAGGTTGCATGGACCGAGACAAAAGATTAGACGCAAGGCGGAGGTCTTTTTTGAAACTATCTGCACGTGTTTACGCACGCCTGCAAGAATGAAAGAAACATCGGGGACAACAGTTCAGAGCAGCACATGTGCATACTGTACTGAAGCGGAATTAGTCTTGCCGCGCGATGACCGGCTTGAATAATACTACAAGGGTACCGTAGACTGCACGATTTATGGCTATCACATTTCAAGCACTGCACTTGTACGTATCGTGCCGTGCCGTACAATGGCGTGGTCCATGCAGAACTGTATATATATATATATACATACAGCAGACTTTGACGCGAGGGTTTGACAGTTGCTGCCATCCATTATTGCGTTCCCTCTCTTATCAAATTTCCATTGCTCGCCATATCTGTTGCATCACGGGAATTCACATGAACCCATCAGCTACACGTACTGTACAATATACAGTGTATATATAGTCTTGCATATTCTTCAGCAACCGTGAGAACTGAAACCAACATAACATTCGTTTCAGTACCGTAGTGTCTGCAGCACGTCACGAAATGTCTAAGCACGACAGACTCTCCCCATGCTGCGTTGTTATTGTTCACATCGATGTCTTTGCGAGTTTCTTTCCAGTGGGTGAATTAAGAAAGATGGGAAATCGAGGAAAGGTCTGTGGGAAGTTCTGTATAGAATGTAGAAATACTGTATGTAAGCGGCCCAAGTATTCCACCACTCGTTGAAATCGGAGACGGCCTTGACCTTTATTTGTCCGTCATATGCTCATGACATGCGAGTGCTGACGTGGAACTCGATTGCAAGCTTCTCGAACTGTGTTGCACGTCAGTCTTGGCTTAGAGTTTTCTGTTACAAAGCTGCTTGTCCTCGCTGACACTACGCCGAGAGCCGATCTACAGGAGGAGGCCTCTGCATAAACGAGCCTATGTAAGCCTGTGCTTACCGCACTGTTGACAGCTGTCTTTCCATGTTCAGGCCATCCTGAACGGTGCGGAGGGTACTTGCACAGTATTACAGAAGCAATACTTGGAACACGAGGATACTTGTGCTCGAGCTTGTGATGATAGCCGTGGTCGTTGGCTTGTCACGTCTAGGGGATGTCTTCGCCAGCAGCTGCACACCGATTTCGAAGAGCAGTGCAGACTAGACGAACGAGGAAGCACTATTGCTGGACGAGGCAAAGCAAGCCCCCGGTTTTTTTATCCACGTACGCACGTACACGTACACACGTAGCCCAACACACACATAGTAGCTCATGGACCACGGCATGAGGGCACTCAACTTCAGAGTAAAGAGAGGGTAAAGAGGGCAACTTTATCGTTCCATCTGCACAGAGCCGCATCCACGTGAGGGGCCGCAGAGTCAGTTTTTATCCCAATTGCAAATGGCCAAGTGGTTTCGGTAGTATGAGGGACTGCTGTTCTACCCAATCACCGAGCGATGTTAACGACGGGCATTGGGCCATTCAAGTCCCGTTTTAGCCGAATGCCTGCCACGCCGTAACGCAGTCGCCAGCGCCTCGCCCGAGTTTCCCGTTCTTATCGACCCCCTTTCGCACTCGGCACTACTTCCGTTTGGCGCTTAGCTCCACACAAGGGTGACGCTGGCGCAATGAGCACAAGAGATCACATGCGGAGCTCCAGACGCCGCGAAGGGTACTCGCCCCATCGGGCGCTGTCCCCGCCGCGTCGCCCGCCATCCCCCCCACGTCGCCACTCCTCCCCGCCTCGCCGTCCCCGCGGCTCTTCGCTGCGGTCGCCCTCCCCGGCCGGCTCGGAGTCCTCGCGTGGCACGGCCCGTTCGGCCGAGACCGCCAACTTCAGCACGTCGCGCAAGATAACCGTGCACCGCTCGTTCGAGTCGATGCGACTGAAGCCCAATTTGCTCCGCGGCATCTACTCGGCGGGCTACTATGCCCCGTCCCCCATCCAGCAGCACTGCGTCATGCCGCTCATCAAGAAGCGTGACGTCATCGCCCAGGCGCAGAGCGGCACGGGGAAGACGGCAATGCTTGCGTTTGTGTCCTTGCAAATCGCCTCGCCGGACTCGCAGGCCGTCCAGGTCCTCATTCTTTCTCCGACAAGGGAGCTTTCGAAGCAGACGGAGGGGAACATTCGCTCGCTGGGAGAGTACACCACCCTCAAATGCTTGGGCTGCGTGGGCGGGAATAGAGTGGGCGAGGATATGAGGGCGCTTGGGAAGGGTGGAGTGCATATTGTCAGTGGAACTCCGGGGCGTGTGTTTGATATGATTCAGAGGGGAGCATTGGACTGCAGAAAGTTGAAGACGCTGATTGTAGATGAGGCTGATCAAATGTTTGGGAGTGGGTTTAAGGAACAGGTCTACGACATATATCGCTCCATGCCGGCTGATGTGCAAGTGGCGTTGGTTTCAGCGACTTTGCCCGATGAAGTGGTTGAGATGTCGGAAAAGTTCATGACAGACCCTGTGTCCGTGCTGGTGAAGCGCGACGGGCTGAGCCTAGACGGAATCTGGCAGTTTTATGTGGATGTGGAGCAAGAAAAGTGGAAGTTTGAGACTCTGTGCGATCTGTACGAAACGTTGACGATCACTCAGGCGGTGATCTTTTGCAACACGAAGAGAAAGGTTGAGTGGCTTACGAAGAAGATGACGGAGAACGGCTTCACAGTGATGTCGATGTCCGGGAGCATGACGCAAGAGCGGCGGAACGAGGTGATGGATTCTTTCCGCAAGGGACATTCACGAGTGCTGATCGCGACGGACATCTGGTCGAGGGGGATCGACGTGCAACACGTGAGCCTGGTGATCAACTACGACGTGCCGAACGAGCAGGAGGCGTACTTACATCGCATTGGCAGGAGTGGGAGGTTTGGACGTAAGGGAGTGGCGATCACGTTTGTGACGTCGGGGGATATGGGAGCGCTGCGGTCTATCGAACGGTTCTACGGGATGCAAATATTGGAACTGCCGAGCAATGTCGACGACTATCTATAAGCAGCTCAGACGAGTCTGTTGGTGAGTGCTTATAAAATATGAAAAGCGTGCATGCCGTCTTTAACGTAGAGAGTATATACATAACAGACACAAACGAAACGCGTGGCATTATGGGCTTGTATTGGTACTGCTCGGAGCGGCGGCGGGTTTGGCGTCGTCCTTTTCATCGCCTTCATAAACTGGTTCATCACGTTTCCAGCTGAATGTGCGCTCCATGGTCTCAATCTCATCCCTGTGCCCCTTGACGTAGACCTTGCTAAGGCCCGAGTCCTCCTCTTCGACCATGACCTTGACCTCCTCAACGCGACTAGCCTGCTTCCAGTACCAGGGGACGGTGAGGAAAGAGAGCAGGGACAACCAGCCATAATACGGGCTCTGCAAGGATTCCGGGAGGACAAAGTTAAGAATATAGCTAGCGCTCCAAATGCCACTGGCAGCAACGGCGACCAAAATGGAAGCGACGCTTGTGCTTGCGCGGACTTTGCCCGTGAAAGTGGCGACGCCGTCGCGGCCGTCCTTCTCCAGGTCGGGGACGAAGGAGCGCTCCATCAAATAGCGGGCCGTGCGCTTGGCGAGGGCGGGGGCCGGCTCGCGCAGCGTGAAGGCGGCCTGGGTGACGCGCGGCTTGGTCGAGCCCTTGACGAAGGAAATGCCACCCCAGAAGGTCAGGAAGAAGACGAAGGCCGTGGCGTAGAGCGAGCCCCTGTTGACGGAGGAGATGTCGGAGAGGAGGTGGAAGGGGAGGGGCGGAGGCGGTGTGAGGGACATGGAGGCGCGGCTGCGGCGCGGCGCGGAGTACAAGCGCGGGGAGAGGCGCGTGGTGGCCGGCGACGGCGACGAGCGGACGCCATGGCGGAGCGGTAGGGAGGTGGAGATGAAGCAGGGCATGGTGGGAGGGGTAGTGGGAGACTTGGTGAAAGTTGAAGAGGGAATGAGGCGCGCGATGAGGGCGGGGGATGGCGGATGGCGGAGGTTGTGTTTTGAGATGGTAAATACTTGTGCTCGGGACACCGTCCGTATCCGGGGGGGCCAGGCAGAGGCGGTGCGGGATCAAACGAGAGGCACATGTCGACGCGTGCGGCCAGGATCCGCAACTGTGCTACCGCAATGCATTCCCATTGGCTGTCTCTATTTAATCCACTCAAAAATAATCACCAAACATCCTTCCCGCGGCCACTAATACTGTGGCGTTCTCCCGAACCGACAATATCCGAGTACGCAATATCCAATCCATCTTTACACCGCGTACCCTTACCCTTCCCTTTCGCCTTCCCCTTCGCCTTCCCCTTCGCCTCCCCACCTCCCTCTCCCCACCGCGCTTCCAATGCCCCCGCCACTCCGCCGCGCCCGCCCGGCCTTCTGCATCCCGCTGTGCGCGACCCCCAGCCGCCCGCATCGCCCGCCGCGCGCGCTGGCCGCGGCGGCTGCCGCCCTCGCGCTCACGCTTCTGCCATGCCGCCCGCCGCCGGTGCTTGCGGCGCCGCCGCCGCCGGCCGCCTCCCTTAGCGCGCCGACCCTCTTCGACCGCGACTTCCTGCACCACTTCCAAATCCGCCACGCCTCCGCCCCGCCGGCCCCGTTGTCTCTGCCGCCGCGCCCGTCCGTCGCCGCCGAAATCCGCGTCCTCACGCGCCTCGTCGTCGCCCTCGTCGTCGGCGGCTGCATCGGCATGGAGCGCCGCGCCGCAAACTCCCTCGCCGGCGTGCGAACCTTCTCGCTCGTCTCGCTGGGCGCCGCCATCTTCATGATCACCATCCTCGTCGCGTTTCCTGCCGCGGACCCGGCCCGGATCGCCGCCGCTATTTCTAGCTCCGTCGGCTTCCTGGGCGCCGGTGCTATGCATAAGAACGCAAAGCACCACCGCGGCCTCACTACCGCGTCCAGCGTGTGGCTGGCCGCCGCTTTGGGAATCGCCGCCGCGAGTGGTATGTTCTTGCTTTCGTTTACGGGTGCGGTTATCACCGTCTTGATCGCGCGCTACGCACGCTTCGACTCGTCGCTGCAGCTCATTCGGGATGACCCTAGCTTCTCGGGCCTACGCGACGAGCCGGACGGCTTGAAGCGTCACTATGCGCCCAATCCAACCCGCAGCAATGGCTATGAATACGCTGCTACACGGAGAAGGGGCGATGCCACTGTGACTCATGAGATGGTCGAAGGCCCGATGAAGTTTGAAAAAGGAAGTGGTAAGGCGTGGACGGATCCTGTACATTTGCAGGCCTTAGTAGATTATGATCCCTCTTCTCAAGCTGCGCGAGATGGTGATGATGACGATCTTGATGATGGGAATACGGCATGAGATGCGACATCGCGGTAAGAAGCCGTGGTCGCGTTTTGGTGTTTGTTGTTATTGTGCTTGGTCCCTTGTAATGCTTTTTTTTGGCCGAGCGAGTCGGGGTTTGCCTGCCTTATGGGGACGGGCTCGACTAGGTTTGCACAAGCATAAGCGACGGGCCGGAAGAGGCCCGTTGCTTGGGTTGGTGGGACACAGAAAAACGTTTGGCGGTGCGTCGAAGGTGTGGCATATCGACCAAGTACGATTTTCTGAAACGGCTATTGTATTTTAACGCCATGCTTTTATCAAGAAGTAAAGCGCCCTACTTTTTTTTTTTTTGCTCTGTTTTGCAGTGCGTCTGTGCGTTGGTCCAGCCGGCCTAAGCCTAAACTCGATCTTGTGCTCGAATGGCCCGCACACACCGAGCAGATGCGTCGGTGCGATTCCGCGGATATCGCGGGGCACTGGCCACCCCTCTTGTACGCCCTGTGCGCTGCATGACAATTCCGGCCCTGTGCGCTGCATGACGATTCCGGCCAGATCTGTGCAAGCGCATTGGCATCCTCCACGCACGTTTGCCTTGTCGCTTGCCTGCATGGGTCCACATGCGTTTCCAACGATGGACACCGAAGTGCGCACTTTTTTCCTCAATCATCCCGCACTCCAAAGTACCGTACAGAGCAGTACAGTACACAGAGCGTGCTCTGTGACAGCAGCAGTTTCCATTTCCTGCTTCGACAGTTTTTTAATGATGTGCACGTCATGATATGATGCCTGCAGTAAGTGTTCAGGGTCCTGGTGAAGTCTTCCCGCCGAATCGGCGACCAATCTATGGTATCCCATGGACATCGGTTCAAGGATTCTAGGTGCGCAGCAGGGAATCAGGGTTTGAGTTTAGAGGCAGATTAATCTTTTAGTAACAGAAGAAATACCTACGGTGCGTTTCGGGTCCTCACGAACGTGAGACAATGCGAAATATGTCTTCTTATAATCCTACAGCCCCTATAGAGTAAGGGACTAATTCTATTTCTGTCATTCAGCATACGCGCGATATTTCCCACTGATCCAAAACTTTCCCACTAGTCGTCGCAGAAGAAGCTTCCATGAAAAGCTTCTCCGAACACGCGCAGAATTCCGCAATTCCATCGACTTTGCAATCACTTCCGTGATCAAATGCGAAAAGTCCTGAGGTCCACTTCCGACTCAGCCGCGCACCATCAGCGACGTCCAAGTTATTGCAACGTATTGCCCAGTTATCCGAAAAAGTAATTGAGTATTATTCTTGTCGTACACTATACTGCAGCCGTCGCAACCCTTAATCTAGACCCAGTGAGCAGTCTCTTTCATGTCGCCGTTTCATGCCAAGTCGGTCTAGTACATTTAAGTATTAGGTTTTAGATGCGGTTTTGTGGGGTATGCAGTCATCCACACAGAAACGAGATGGTTGTGCGCGGCTCACAGCCATGGTTTCCTTTTCCATTACACGCCTTGGCCTTCAAAGTAATGCCTGGCCATGTCTCGTAGTGACTGTACTTGTTATTGCCATTGTCCATTTCCATTGCAAGCGCATTGAAACCAAGCAAATATTAGTTGGCGATTTGGTTAAGAGCCATCATTTGGTGGCGGCGGTTGCGGATTGAAGGGCGGTCGCGCTCTGTTAGTGACCATCATGAAGAGGCTGTCAAGTTGTTTTTTGAAGCTTTCATTCTGACTCATCATGATTTCAAGCTTTCCCTCTAATTGCAACTTCTCTGCTTCCACGGTGGCAAGCCTCTCCTCAAGTTCCTTAACATAAGCCCGCCTTCGCACGCGAGAGACAGCTGCAGATTCCCTGTTCATGTCCAGCCTTCGTTTGTATCGCTCCTGCTTCTCAACGTCGAGGTCGTCTTCCTGTCTCACTTTGTCATGCGTGGGGGACAATCTAGATGATCCTGTCCGGGCTGTTTCTTTGTCAGTAGTTTTGTCATTGCTATGCCTATGCCTCTTCATGGAGCGGTGATCGCAGAGAGAATCTTTCCCTGATTGGTCGCTATGGCTACCCAATGTCGACGCCGCCAAAGAAGCTTCCTTCTTGGCCGGACCGCGGCGACTGTTTGCAAATGTCTCTGCCTCTCTCTGCGCGCGAATGCGTGCCTCTTCCACTGCTGATCTTACAGGCTTGCGAAGGCAGTCGTCGGCTACTGCCAAAGGCGACTCTCGCGGGTCCACAGCTTGTGACACATCTAAGGGTTGTCGAGAGTGCTGTTGGAAACCTCGCTTCACTGGTAGGGCACCAGAATTCAAAACTGGGTTTGTCGTAGGCACAATTCGGTCACTAGGCTGAGGCTGAGGACTGATTTCGGCTTGCGACATTGGAGCTCGTTGGCGACACTGAGATTGATTGGAATGCTGTACGGCGTTCTTGGTTTCTGTCAGGAAAGCATTCGTGTTTCGGTGGTTTGAGAGATCTGGAGCTAACGGTGGTTGTTGCCAGAGCTGCGCTTGAGAGTGCTGCGGGAGTGCTTGATTCGGATGCTGCCTTCGATTATGGAATGAATGAGGCATTTGTTCCGATACATGCATAGGTACGTTTGATGATGCCATGAGTGCGGCTTGCTGCGAGAAGCGCTGTACAGCATCTGAGTTCGGACCATGGGAGTGCGAAGAAGGTTGACCCGCGACGATCCCGTATAATTCTTCCACAGTCGTATTTTGGTTTGTAGCAGGGATGAGACGCGGTGAGTGATCCATCCAAGTAGTAGTGCCGCTCGAGGGCGGTGCGGGGAAGTCGTTTTCATCGAAAGGTAAACCTTGCATGATGGCAAGATGTCTCCAAAGCGGAGCAGAGGAAGGTAAACGAGAGAAAGAGAATGTTCAAAGGGAGCACAAAAGCTGGACGTGGGTTGCGGAGGGGGGGGGGGGGGGGGGGGGGGGGTTGCAACGCGACGTGGTCCGGGGCGGGACGCCACGGCTCAGGCCAAAACGCAAGAGTGCAGTGCACCGGATGGTGAAGGGAAAACGGGAAACGTCTGAGATGTGGGATGAAGAATTGGTGAATGAATCAGTGAAAGAAGGAGTTGCATGTCGACCAAGACTGAGGAAGGGGAGCTTGAGAGAAAACGGGTGTCGGCCTTGTCACGAGGTGAGAGAGAGAGTATGTTGTCATGAACTACTCAAAGGAATTATACAAAGGATAGGCGGTGAGAGACGGACGCTTACATCGATGAATTGACGGCAAAGTAACAAGAGAGAGATTGTGTACCACCTGTCACCACAGACGCGGTCGTGTCTTAGTGGTTGTATGCAGAGGGGGAATTCTATATGTTCTCGTAGAGAGCAAGGTAGGATTGAGGAGGGTGCGGGAAAGTGTTTTGATCGCAGTCATAACATTAGAGAACAGAGCTGCAACAGGTGTGGCTTGGCAGTGTTCCAACCTGGGCCGGACAAAAAAAGCAGCTTGCGCTTGCTTCTGTACAAGGAAAAAGACGCTGGTAATGGCGGGATTTGGAGACGCTTACACATTTGAGGAAGCCAAAAAAATAGACCGGCCACGAGTCTATGTTGTCAAATAAGGGTCCCCGTGGACAGTGTCCAGCGAGACATGAGAGGTGAATAAAGAAACGTAGCGCGGCGGTGATACGCAATCCTTATCGCAGACGCGCCCTCCCTCACGTGTCTTTTCCCCAAAACCTGAGGCTGTGGTCTTGTCTTAAATAAAAAAAAATGCTTCTTTACAGCAGTGCGTGCGACCTGTGCGACCTGACTTAAAGCATTACTTTGCCATCGAAGGCCATTTAGTAGACGCCCACCATTAGCCACACAGTGTTTAAGAAACCTCAGGCATATGCTACCACAAACTGACGTTCAGGGTATTTTTGACCCATCTATGAACAGAGAAAGTCTGCTTACATCCAATACTGTATGCTTTTATGTGTGTGTTTTTTTTCCGTTGCGTTGTTTTCCAACATGTATCGTTGACACAAAGTATGTTCAAAGATTAGGCCCCCCAATCAATCACAGCAGAAGCAACAACTTCATATCCATAGCGAAATACCCAGTGACGCCTCTACCAACTTTCGCTCGCAAACTGCTGTACGGCACTCGCGACACTGCATACCACCCCACGTAGCTGAACGCAGTGGATTGCTTCCTTTCTCGGGAGAGTACCTCTCGTACACACTAGTGCTTGCGACTGGGGGCAGGCCAAAAAAGCAGGTGGCGGAAAGTGGAGACACCTTCCAAGGCTCTACTCCCGGCACCTATCAGTACGAAACCAGTTTGACATATATTTTTCAAGAAGGCAAACGTAGAGTCCATTCATCAGTGCACGGAACTGGTAGTATCCTACACAAATAGAGTACAGCTTGGGTAATTACATAGAAACAGGGTTGCCGCTGCGCCAGTCTGTGTTTATTTTAAAAAAATGACGGCTTGGAGAGTATTCTCATGTGCCGTAAGCTGTCGCGGAGAGGAAAATGGGTTCGCGGGATTGATAGAGGGAATCGTCGAAATCAACCATCATCAGAGACCGCCCGCATTAACTTTAGCAGATATTTCCGATGCAGAAAATCACATAAGTCAAAACGCTGGAGCAGTTTGCCTGCGAGGGACGGCAGAGCCATCTACGGTGTGCCAACTTCTTCTGATACAGCAGTAACGCTAATGCTTGCGAAATGCATAAGCGAATAGCAAGGCAACAGGCATTTCGAAACTCTTCACACAAATAGGCACAGTTTGTTCTTGGAGCATCGGGAGTTTAGGGTAGTGCCTCTCTATGTAGTACATAGAGAGGCACTACCCTACGTAGTATGTACTGTAGGGAGCCCTATTGGGAGCGACACCAGCACAACCATGGAGGGGTAAACATAGTCCGTGTATTGGACTCACAGCGCAAATTCCTGGGCACATGGTGTGGGACAGTCTGTCCATGGCGGTTAGCGGTTACTGGTCCTTTGGTCTTTACAAGCTGCTGAGGGCAGTTTCGGATGGCAGGGGCGACTAAGGAAAAAGCTGCGTACTGTATACTGTAGCAGCCAGCATCACATAATGAAGCATGCCTAGAGTCCCAACGGCCAGATCCGGGAACACAGACACGAGATTCATACCCCACCCGCTTTTATTGAACATTCCATTTTTTATCCAAATTCTAGCCAGCCCGCCCAGGACTGAGGAAATGTAAGCTCTTCATCACCCAATGCCTTTTCATGTCCAACAAGGTACACTAGAAAACACACCCGCAACTTTCTTATATTTTTAGGTTGGGCCACTGGACCACTCATTCCTACTATCCTGCTGAGTCTTGATTTCTCTGAAATTCCGGTCCGTATTACGGCAAACGGCCTCTCATCGCCTCTCACATGCCTGCTTACATTTCAGGTCTGTCACGGACTCTTATTACTCTCCCACATCTCCCCTTCCCCTCAAACACCACATTGTACAAAGCGTGTTGAGGGACGTGGGAGGTCCTGTCGTAGATGCGAAGGTCATGAATACTGAGTACTTCACGTGCAGTACCCTTCGAAGGCTACGTGTACATCTGCTTATATCCATACCGCAGATTGCCTCTCAAAGATGGCGGCACGTCCTCGTGTAATGCTGCTCAAAAGAAACTGCCCCCTCTGCTCTCCGTAAGGGATACTTTTGATACTTTCCTTGGTCCTTACGACGAGCCCCAACTTCTGCTTTTTTTAAGGGTCCACTCAATTTTTTTGACATGCTCTAGGTGCAAGCTGAAATAGGAGATGGATATTGTTAAATATCTGAAAATGATTACGCTGGATCCTCCTGTTCTTGATTGCCTCCCTTGTAGTCCCAATGCACCTTGAATCGATGTATATATTACTACACGAGCCTCTGCATTTGGAAAACAGGTGTCAAACTTCATGTTCGCTGACATTATAAAATCCCGTTCACTTTCCCACTTCCTTCTTACGTACACAGTTAAGTTTATGTATAACAGGGGTCATCTCTCTGTTGCCATGGGAGGGCACGGAAAATAGGGCACAATACTCTCACATGAGAGGTGCATAACTTCTATGAAAACAGCTCGTGTGGGGTCCAAAATATTAATAATCATAGTGCTCATCAGTTGCATTTGGAACGCACCCCAAAAAGCGTGAAAATTCCGCTCAGTATGCCTGTTCAAAAAGTGTTATTTACAACCATCCTCCATTTCATCTTAATCCTAAGGAAATCAATTTATGTTCTGTGGCAGTGGTGGATTGCAATAGTATTTACTGTAACTTCTCAAGTAGAATCCCCACCTCAGACTGTTTACCGTCAGTGTTCATGCAGGACATACCTGGCATCGAGGCAGGCTTCAGCGAAAGCCCTATGCTTCGACCAATGGAAACTATGTGAAATGTATGCCTGAGTGGAATTCTTTCTCTCGTCATTTCTTTGTCTAGACAACTATAAGATACACTTCTCTCGAAGCGTAAAACGAAAGGACATGTGACTAAAATAAGGCATGCATTTCTTACACCAGGAATTGCAAATGTCTTGCGAAATTTCAGATCTGATCTATGTTTAAAGTGACTTGTTTAGTCTGACATCCCTGTGCGTTCCTCTGAGCTTCATTTATTCGAATAAACCCAATGAGTTTCGAAAGGATGATGCCAAAAATTTTGAAGTTCGCAATCGAGGTATACGCCCCAATAATGAGATAGACAAAAAGCAAACTTCTGGCATGAGCATGAGTGAAGTGAAAACATTTCGTAATGAAGGACCAGATCTAATAGGAACACGCTGTTTTGAAATTTCATTGTCACTCTACCCACTTCCCCTCAAGTAAAAACTCTACGTCACCAAGTTAAAATAGCACGTGGTATCTGCCAGAGAGTCATGAATGAAGGAAAATCAGGGCCGCTCCTAACAAAGGTCTTTTTCTTTCAAGAAATACACCATTTTGTGCTATTAGTTGACATAATATATATATGTACGAGTTGCCGTCGTCGGGCCCAGAATAATCACAGTGCGCTACTAAACCAGATGGCAGTTGTAAAGAGCTCATGATCTGCGGTGTGTAGCAGGCTACAGGCTTCTCTTGTATTTTGAGGCGTCTATGGCTTTTCCTGTGGCGCTCACATTGCTGCTGATTGATGAAACTGCGTCTTGCGGGACTTGGCTAAATTGAAGTCAAAGGTCAGACTCCGCTAATTTTTTTTTTTTTTGCAATCCCGTTGAACGAATGGCTTCTAGGTATCATTTTGATACTCATCAAGGTGCTTTGGGATGCGTATGTAGTTCGAATGCTATTCCGCCAGAACTTGCCACTCAGGGATAGAGGAAGAAGTATGAGGATGATAGTATATGTAATCTAATGTCCTTGGAAATATCAATATTAGCAAGTCCGGAAACGCTATTATCCGTGCTTCAGCTCCTTTCTTACAGAAGCAGAAACCGCCCAAAACAACCACTTTCTAAATATAAGAATCTTGAACTACTTTTTATCGATAGACACTCCATTATTGGAAAGTATTTCTAAAGAGTGGAGAACACGTTTATGGAACGTATAGAGTGTTGTACGGTAGTCCAATCGAATCAAAAGCGCCAGGTCACCTCAAAGCAGAGCCGCCCCGAATGCTTCCGTGGCCCAGAGTAGTCCATATTGAATTATAAGTCGAAATATCACAGTCTGTGCAATGGGTGAGACGATGCTTTCCTCATCCTTTCTTCTCGTATTACCTCTCAGCCATTTCCAAGTTACGTGCCTCGCCATTTGTCTTTTGGGCACGTCACCACGTAGCTGTGGAGGGGATAGTCGAGCGCAATACAGACGATATCCTTGATGCGTTCTCCAAACTGTTTCTACTTCGATGGAGATGAGCTTTTCAACCTGACGGCTCTCCAGCTGGCCTCGGAGGCGCGAAAATGTATGAAATCACCTCAGAGCCTATCTTTTGTAACGCATGCAGCGCAATAGACAGACAGTCTATTGCGTATCCCGGAGCGGTCGGCCGCCGGGAGGGTGACTAGTCTGAAGTGAAGGTGTTCATTGTTCTGTATTTTTCTTACCGTCCACGCGGGACGATGGCTATTTAAATACCTGCTGTATGTAGTGCTAGAGTGTCCTTCCACGCCGTCTCGGGTACCGCAGACCGTGGAAGGTGAAGTTGTGTACGTTTGTAATAAATAAAAACTCTAACTCTTAGATACAAACGGTTCCAATCTTGTGCACCGTATACAGAATATTTCCAATGCCGTTCGAGCCGGTCGTTCACGAGCGCAGTGCATGTGACCGGCAACGAACAGTTGCCTCACCGGCGCACCACAGTCTTAGAGCACAGTAGCAACGCAAAGAGAAACACAACCAGATGGACAAATCGCGATACACACCACGTTCGCCACTTCCTACCGCGCAAAGGGAGGCCCATGCCGATAAAAGGAGTCGTGTTTATTTCTCCTCGACACGAGTATCATCTTGTATATCTCGTATGTTAATAGTCACACAGTTGTTGTCCAAAATCTCTTTCGCACGACGCGTGTACTGAATTGTTGACAACTCTCTCTGAACTGTGAAGTCAACATGTTCTCAGTGAGGACGAGAACGTTGTCCCGGGTATCGCTGAAACGAAATAGAAACTGTTGCCTACTCCCAGCTCTGAGTGTAAAATTCTGCGGTACGTGTGCTGTATATGGGGAAAAGCCAGGTATGATATCTACAATCGTGGAATATGGAGTCTGTTTAAACCTTGAAAGAGAGACATGGCTGTGTTGGGACAGGCTCTGCACCCTCACATACTACTGTACACGTGAATTTCGACGCCTGGAACTTCTGTACGGCTCACAGCGAGCGGGGGGAGAAGATCGTACGGAACACATGCTGAAGTTGACTTTTTTTGGGGCGTGGAATATTTCTGAGAGGGTCCTGGGCGTTGGAATTTGTTCACCGACGGTTTGGGTGTTTACGTCTACCCTTCCTACGGGTAGATATCGGGAATCTCCCCGGTGAAGGGTGAGGGATCTTGTCTGGTGGTGCGACGTGTACAGGTTCGAATTGCGCATCGTCTTGGATGCACGATGCGTCTATCCTCCAAAAATCAACCTCAATGTCAACGGTGTTCGATTTGTGAAACTGGTACATTCGACCTACGTCAAACTTCAGTTCCGCGAGGACCTTTAAAGTAGACATCAAAGATCGGATGAAACAGATCGATTAGTGCATAGGAGTTGGTGTTAGTGGAGTGTTCATGGAAGTTAGATTTAATAGAGATCGAAACCGTTGCAAACTTCTTTACCTTTGCGTCCGCCCCCCACTGCTTTGCTTTCTTCAAAATGTAAGGTCTCGTCGAGGTCTTGTGCATAGAATAGACTGCACCGCCTGATACCTGCATGGCAGTTTGCAGAAAGGCTATGTCCACGCCTTTTCGTTTTGTTCCAAATGGGGGATTCAGAATCACAGTATCAAACGGCTTCCGTTTTGGATGAGCAGACAAAAACTCCCCATCAATAATATCGGCGAGACAAAATTGCATCTCATCAGCTACGCCAGTATTCTTCGCGTTTTCCGCAGCGATTGTGACAGCCGAAGGATCAACGTCTACGGCGAGTACGAAAGGAGAGCCACTTAACGCTGCGGCAATCGCTAGCATTCCAGTTCCGCAGCCTAGATCACATACTGCTTTACCGTGAATATCGTCAAAAGTTGAATCCATCATGTGCACAACTTGGGATGCGAGGTGCGCGGACGTCGGATACTGCTCGAGCTCGGCAATAGGACTCTCAAACACCCTCACTTCCTGGAGAGCGTTTTCAAGGTCTCTCAGCTTCATCATGTTTCTGTCGCAATGGTGCAGGAAAGGAGCGTTACGGCTAGCGGGTTGCTGTAACAAAGGCGAACAATCCTTGCTATGTTTCTCGATCACGCGAACGCTTTAGAAGCTTGCGCAGACTGGCCTGTGAAAGAATTCAGGATCTGTGCTGTCAGTTCGCCGATGCACCGTACCAATGGACGGACCGCGACTTTTTTAAGACCTGTGACTCAACCGTGATAGTTATCGGCAGCGACGTTGAAACTTGCGGAGGAATTGTGCTACAGTATGATGTGGCTTGAGGCAGACAAAAGCAGCGGCATCTCTTCCAGAGCTGTCATGCCGCGGCCTCTGGAGAGATGCCGCTGCTTTTGTCATCAGGGGAGGGCGGAAAAATCAATTTTTACCAAATTTTTTTAATTCGGCTTAAGATCGAAGAATAACAGTGTACTACTTGTCCGTTCACTTGTTCCGGCACATCCGGAGGCTCCTCTCAAAGCAACTGAGGCGGAATCGGTGCGCGTCGAGGAGTCACTGAGACGAATCTACTTGTCGCAGTTGCATGTCCCGCGGGGGAAATCGCGTGGTGACTCTTACCGAGTACAAATTGAAAATGCTGGAAGCCATTGGAAGCCCTCGTCTTCTGACTTTGTTCATTGCAACTGTTTGCGTCGTGTTATACCTCGCACAAGCTTATCAAGCGCGGCCAGGTGCAATATGCCTTTCCCCAAGCAAGGTTTTCACGCAGCTTGCAGTTTATCGAATTTTCACATCTCCTTTCTTTCATGGCGGCTTATTTCACATACTGTTCAACACAATAGCGTGGATGATCATTGGACGGGATTACGAGCGAACAATCGGAACTTTAGCAGCAACCTACTCAATTTTCGTCCTACTCATTCCGCTGATAGCAATCTTGCACTGCTCTGCAGCGTATTTAATCGATGCATTGGCGCAGACTTCTTTCAGGAATGAATGCGCCATCGGGCTCTCCGGTGTGCTCTTTGCCATACTTGTTGTCAACGTGGAGGTATCACCTGGCACTTCTGTGAATGTATTTGGATTTTTCTCAATGCCCAAGAGATGGTACCCGTGGGCCTTGGCGGCGATCCTGCAATTATTGTCACCGCGTTTGAGCATCCTGGGTCATTTGTCTGGGATTGTGCTTGGTTACGCGCTGGTCTATGGGTATCTAAATCGTCTCTCTCCAAGCGATTATAAGCTCGAAGACTTCGAGATTACCACGGGGCTTGCCTCAATGCCGCTGTGGCAACCGCTGACCACATCTACGGGCATGCCAGTAGCTGGTGCATCCGTTCTCCCTCAAACTACTTCTCCATATGTTGAATCAGGCTCTGCGGGGCGACCATCACCCTGGTCGCAGTTTACTTCGTGGTTCTCGTCGGTGTTTTCGGGAGGCAATGATCGGCCATTCGCCGGACAAGGTAGGCCTCTAGGAAGCGGGGACCCTTCCGCGACGGGAGGTCGCGTACCGCAAAATAGCCGCCTAATACGAGAGGCTGGCAGTCAGTCGACCACGACTAAAGATAGCAGCGCTGAAGAGACAGAGAAGAACGTGGTTCCCGAGGCTGATGAGTCTACTGACCCTGCAGCTGGTCTGAGCCAGGATGAAAACAAGCGATAGAAAGCAACTTTTGGAAAAGCACGGCGCGACATGAACTCCTCCTTTTCTATTTAACTGCTAGAGCTCTACAACGGCCTTTCCCATTGTCTTGTTTTCTTTAATGTACTGCAGTGCGTCTGGAACGGAAGCTAGGCCTTCAAATATCTTGTCAATAATGGGCTTTAATGGACCACCAGGTGCGAACGAGTCTGCAAACTTGCAAGAGAACTGTTGCACAAGGTTGGCACGGTATTCGTCAGAGCGGCTTCGCAACGTTGTCCCGGATATCGTCAATCGCTTGGAAAGAATACCTGCGAGACCAAGGTTGGGGCCCTTCGCGCCGGAAAGCAGGCCGTACATAACCCAACGCCCATCCGTTTTCAAGGATCGTTCGTTTTCCTTAAATTGCTCTGCTCCAACGCAGTCCAGCACTAAGTCCACGCCCTGACCATTAGTGGCGTACTCAACGGAATCGGCTATTTGCTGTAGTTTGTAATTGATGCTGTGTGTGGCCCCCAACGCCCTGCACAAATCGAGCTTTTCTTGACTCCCTGCGACAGCTATGATCGAGACGTTAGGTACCATTTTCGCTAGCTGGATTGCGCTTGTCCCTACGCCGCTCGCGGCAGCGTTGATGAGGACAGTCTCATCATTTGACAAGTTGCCTACCTGAAAGAGGATGTGATACGCAGCGAGAAACGCCTCTGGTATAGCAGCGAGTTGTACTGGCGACAAGTTGTTAGCGACTGCGTCTGGAAACGAAAGGATAGCCCCCTTTGGAACGACAGCGTATTCCGCAAATGCACCACCTTTCAGGAGTGCAGTGACCAGTTGACCATTTTCCAGATAGCCCGATGCTTCCAAGCCTAAGATATCTGTAGTACCGGGAGGAGGGGGATACTTTCCCTGGCTCTGCAGCAGGTCTGCTCTGTTGACCCCGATGGCTTTCACTTTGACAAGAAGCTCATCCGGCCCTGCCACCGGAAGTGCTTTATCTACAATTTCAATCCCACCCTTGCCGTTAGATATCGCAGTGCGCATACTGCTGGTCCCTTGAGCAAAGAAGCGAAAGGCCGACATTGCGTCCTAATTGCAGATTCGTTGGCAAGGATAACTTTCCAGATCGTTGTCGTCGAGGTCGAGGTGTAGCCGGATGGGATTGAAAGTGCTGTCTCCGTTGCACCTTTACGCCTCGATATACGGTACATAGCTGCAGCTAAAACAGGCCTCCCGTGCTTGACTCAACTTGCCGTCAAAGACGCCCCGCGGATCAAAAAATAAATTCCTGTAATTCTCAAGTCTCAGTGCATGCACAAACCGTACGGTACTTTGGCACAGGCTGGCTGGCTTAGAATTGAAGCCCCAATTGTGCTACAACGCTGACCTCCCGGCTACAATGACGACGTCGACGTCTCTGTCAGGGTCAGCCTTCTCCCCCAAGCCTCCCGCCAAGGGGAGTTTCCCGTTAGACCATCTCGGCGAATGCAAGGACTTCGCGGTGGCGTACGAGCGGTGTCTGGAGCGGCACAAAAAGGTATCGAGTGAGTGCCGGTCGGAGGTACGGCTATACTTGCAATGTCGCATGGAGCGCGGGCTGATGGCGACAGAAGAGTGGAAGAAGCTTGGGCTGGACAAGGAGAAGATGGAGGCGGGGGTGAAGGGGGGCGAGCAAGAAAGGCCCGAGGCGACTGGGTTTGTGGCAGGAGCGCGAAGCGCGAAGAGGAGGAAGGACAGGTATAAACAGGGCAGAGGGGAGGAGGCGGGGTGAGGCGTGCGAGAGAGCAGAGAGGGCATGGGGAAAGTAGATGGCTGTGTTCGTCAGTAGGGCGTGCAGGTTTGCATGGTGAGGGCATGGGCGAGTAATGTAGCATACTTTATGAATTGCAAGAATTGCGGTTTGGTTGAGACTTGAAAGCAAAAAGCTAGAGAAAAGAGGCAGGGCGCATAGCGGCGTGGGGAATCATTGGGCGGTGGGAGTGGTGGGAGTGGTGGGAGTGGAGGATGAGCCTGGTTGGGTCATAGCGAAGAGGGAATCTGCATTTGCAGTTGCATAGTCGAAGGAAGGCTTCATGTGCTTGGTGGCGATGTGTGTCATTTTGGTGTGGTAAAGCCAATACGCGACGTAGGCGGCGTTGAACATGGTGGGGGCCTTTTCATAGGTGGTCTTCATGCGATGCACAGTGCCGTCCAGGACGGAATCGTACTTGGCCTTGGAGCTCTCGAGCTTCTCCAAGTTGCGCTCCTGCTTGGACGAGTCGGTCTCCTTCTTCTTCCCGAGCTTGTCGACCTTGGCCGAGTACATGGCATAGTCCTTGCGGGCGTTCTCGACGTTCTGGTACTCGGCGGTGAGGGTTTTAATCTCTGTAAGATAGGCGCGGACTATGCGCTCGATGCTCTTGACCTTGGACGTGGGGCCGGCGTTGTCGGCCATCTCCTTCTGCAGCGGGTCGCGGATCTCGTCGAGGGTCTTCTTGAACAGGGTGCGCACGTCGTCATCGAGCGGGTACAGCGAGTGCAGGCCGGACGAGAATTGCTCCGCGCTGGAGACCAGGGTCTTCCACGACTTCTCCGCCGTGTCGACGTTCGACAGAGCGGCCGTGAGCGCCTTGGACACGTTGTCCAGGTTCTGGCGCATGTGGTCGAACTCGGCGTTCACCGGCTCCTGCTTGTCCGTGTGCATGGCCGTCTTGCGCTTCAGGGCGTGCAACATGGCGGGGCGACGGAGCGGGGGGATGCGCGGGTGGGGTGGGGGGGGGGAGGGGGGGGGGGAGGGGGGAAGGGGACCCGCGGGTGAGGGCGGGCGGGCGGGCGCGTGGGTGTCGAGTTGAGCAGTGGAGATTGAATAAAGTCAAGGTGGAACGATGATAAGCAGGTGGGTGAAGGGGTCGATACTCTATACGGTCTGCGGAATATCTAGAGCAGTGACTGAGATGGTGGTGGTGAGCGGGCGTACTGTACCGTTGGTACAATAGGGTACAGAAATGGTGCGTACAGTACTTGGTACAGTACGGCAGGGTGGCTTCGGTAGTCCCCTCGCCAGATATTTCGGCGCACTGACAAGCGCCCCGTCCTATCGCCTTCGACCGCCAACTGCTCGCTCATACAGATTATATAGAGATAATGTTGCATTTGGGGGGGCGATGGGCGATCAGGTGCATTTTTGCAGTGATCAAGAGGTGAAATGGCAAAAGTTGCAGTGAACGAGGGTGACGTTTGTAGGTACAGGCGACCCCCTCAATTAGTGCACCCCCGTGCCATGCGCATTCTTTTGCACTATCTTCAATGTGCTTTATCTCAGGGGTTCGCAACGAAATGTTCCGTTACCAGCGTCTGCCGTCGCTGACGCTTCGTGTGTTCATTATAGACACGGCTCAACGCTCGCTTAGCAAGACGTAAATGATGCGATGGAGAGAGGCAATTTTGCGGAGCGTGCGATATGCACGAAGCGAAAGAGGCGATCCTCGATTTCCGGGAACTGAATGGGATAGACAGCCTTCACCAAAGTGTTATGCTGTGATTGAAGAACCCGTTCGATGTGTTTCTTTTGGGCCTTGATGTTGCATATCGTTCTTGGAGAGCAGTTGAAATCAACGCTGCAAATCGACGTGCCGAGCACCCTGTGAAAGTCGCCGCAGCACCTCTTCTTTTTGCGAAAGGGTAAGGCGGGTTCTTGACGCCCTGGATGCTGGTTCAGTTGTTCTCATTGTGTGATTAGTTGTTCGAAGATGCATAAGGTTGCTGGGATCTGTAAAAGAATGGAACCCGCTCTCTACACCTGTACAAAGTCGTGCCAAGCTATCAGAGTGTGCATTAAAGTCCAATATGCACTAACTAAAAGTGCACTAATTAAGAGACCCCCCCTGTATATGTACGTCCCCCACTCGTGCCTTCTTTCCTCAATCCCGCCTTCTGCCCGCCCCCGCGCGAGCGCGCCTTGCCTCCTTCTTCTCCCTTCTCCCCTCTGCCTCCTTCTTCTCCCGCCTCCTTCCACACATGCCCCGCCGCCTCGCTCGCCTCCGCGCCGGGGCGCCCCGTATTATTGAAGCCCCGACCGTTTTTTTCGAGAGAGCGACGGGCGCGCCTCGTTGCCAGGCGCGCCTCGTTGCCGGGCGCGCCCTTTCCAGGAACCCGCCTTTCCGGTGACATCGGCTGCGTTTCGGAGACCTGATCTCAGGTCTCAAGATCAAGTCGGCCCCGCGCCACGTGTACTGTACAGTACCAGCCGAGGAACATTCCCTTCCCGCCAAAACCGCATCCCCACCGCATTCAACAACCCCCTCCCTCCCCCCCCTTGTCGCCCGTCACCGCCTCCACTTCCCGCCTGTCCACGGGCGACTG